ACTTTTCCGTCGAAATCCGGACCCATCAATTTTCGCAAAAAACACAAAGGCTATAGCCTTTGTATATTTTGCCAAAAATGAAAAAAATAAAAATCGCTGGAAATGGTTGGGATTGGTCCGACAGCATCATCTTTCAATATCTCCGCCGAAATTTCACGCCGCCGGGCCATTTTAAGTGAGTTATGCCTGCGCGCAGTTCAAAAGACCACCCCTTAAAACTCAAGTTTCTGAGGACAGGGGTTTTCTGACGGAACCAAAAGTAGTTTTGTGGTCCCCTGGTTTACCCCTGTCGATTCGACTACTTTTCCGTCGAAATCCGGACCCACCCATTTTCGCTTAAAACACAAAGGCTTATAGCCTTTGTAAATTTGGCCAAAAATGAAAAATTTTAAAGTCGCTGGAAATGGTTGGGATTGGTCCGACAGCATCCTCTTTCAATATCTCCGCCGAAATTTCACGCCGCCGGGCCATTTTAAGTGAGTTACGCCTGTTTTTCTTGGACCGGCTCGCCCGCCAGATTCAAAAGACCATCCCTTAAAACTCAAATTTCTCTGGACAGGATTGGTTTTTGACGGAACCAAAAGAAGTTTTGTGGTACCCTGGTCCTCCCCTGTCGATTCGACTTCTTTTCCGTCGAAATCCGGACCCATCAATTTTCGCTAAAAACACAAAGGCTATAGCCTTTGTATATTTTGCCAAAAATGAAAAAAATAAAAATCGCTGGAAATGAATGGAATTGGTCTAGGAGAGTCGCCTTTGACCTTCTCTGTCGAAATTGCGTGTTTCCTGGCTCTTTTACATCCTGTTTCTTCGACTAAAACTGCCTCTTTGGGTTGTTGCAGGAAGATCGGCCTGGAGGTGTTTCTGTCCTGGACATCAGCCGTGCAGCCCATGGAATCATCAGATATAAGTTGAGTTGGCGTCACAGTGTTAACCGTTGGGCCAGTAATTTTTTGTTACCCCCCTGTAAATTCATTCACCACCCACATTGTGGAGGGGTCTAGCGGAGCCGTTCCGCTCAACGCTGTGGAGTCAGCGGACCCCTTGCATGGGGACAATACGTGCAACGCGTGACCTCACTGCGTCAATGAGGGGGCTGGACGTGTCGCCCTAAGCCGTCCAAAAAACCTCCCCCCCCCCCTTCCTCCCGGCTGCGGCTGCTGTGGAGGTAATAGCGGGGTGCCGCCGCTACCGCCGTGACGTCACGGGCGTCTTGGGCGCTGCTGTGGGGGCAGTGGGGGTAGTAGTAGTAAATCTACTGCTGCCTCTACGGCTCCGTGACAGCTTCATCCGAGATGCCCGTGACGTCACTGCTGTAGTGGTGGCAGTCTGCTACTACATGCACAGTTACCACAGCTTCTAGCTAACTGTGTATGAAATCAAGTAAAATGTCAGAAGTAGTCATTTTTTAAATTCTTTATTATTTCAAATCATTTACATTATAAGAGTAAGTCTTCCTCTAGTAGCCGGCTTCTTTCTGCTGGTTGCTGGTGACTTGAGGTGAATCTGAACACCTGAAAAATAATGAAAAAATCTAATTAAATTCTAATTATCTCAGAGTTCAACTCAAACATTTTCTGGTCCATCTGTAGCACTGTGACGCCAGCTCATCGAATGAACTTTCTATGTTACAGGTGGTCAGCATCAAGTCCAGGCACATCCCTTTGGACAAGAAGCAGCATCACTTCCTATTTTGCTACGACTGTACCATACAAATGAAATAAATAGCAGCATTACTGTCAGTGATTGATTACTAATGATTTGCCTCCATTTCCGCACAAAAATTAAAACGGGACTATATATTTTAGGCTCAAGTAATAAGCCATGTATATGGAATGAGAATAAGCAGTAAAGAAATGACAAGCAACCCCAAAATAGAAACAATACCAAAATAAACTTTTACCAGACATGACTACCATAAATGTACTGGTATTTTATGTAAACATCACATTGAAAGTCAAAACTTACCAGATTCATTCCTGCGATCATGAGAAAAAGGAGCGATTCCTCCTGCTGTGTGCTGCGACGCCAACTCAGCATACAGCAGGTGACACACAAGCTGCTTTGCTGATGTCCAGGATAGGTGCACCTCCAGGCCGATCTTCCTGCAACGAACCAAAGACGCAATTTTATAGTTAAAGAAACACGATGCAAGAGAAGCAGAAAGCACGCAATTTCGACAGAGGTGGTCAAAGGCGACTCTCCTAGACCAATCCCAACCATTTCCAGCGATTTTAATTGTTTTTCATTTTTGGCCAAATTTACAAAGGCTATAGCCTTTGTGTTTTTAGCGAAAATGGGTGGGTCCGGATTTCGACGGAAAAGTAGTCGAATCGACAGGGGTGAACCAGGGGACCACAAAACTACTTTTGGTTCCGTCAGAAACCACCCCTGTCCTCAGAAACTTGAGTTTTAAGGGGTGGTCTTTTGAACTGCGGGCAGGCATAACTCACTTAAAATGGCCCGGCGGCGTGAAATTTCGGCGGAGCTATTGAAAGAGGATGCTGTCGGACCAATCCCAACCATTTCCAGCGATTTTAAAATTTTTCATTTTTGGCCAAATTTACAAAGGCTAAAGCCTTTGTGTTTTTAGCGAAAATGGGTGGGTCCGAATTTCGACGGAAAAGTAGTCGAATCGACAGGGGTGAACCAGGGGACCACAAAACTACTTTTGGTTCCGTCAGAAACCATCCCTGTCCTCAGAAACTTGAGTTTTAAGGGGTTGTCTATGTAAGGCGCACAAGCTAAAGTAACAGGAAAAGTACTCTGCTGTAGTGGGTCGGCTCCATGATATTTACACATAGCAAGTGGAAGG